GCCCCTACACATTGTTGATGTTTGAGACATTGAGATTACTCATCATGTCCTGCCATGCTGGCACCTCTATATTTTCTGGGGACAGACTGAGGACATTTGTATTGCTGGTGTGGTGTCAGCAGATTCGCCTGTTTGATGTAGCATCAGTGGGCTTCCTGGGATCAGACTGTTCCAAGTAGTCATTTCCAATAATACTCCTTCTTTTATGTATCAATTTAGTGTTGTTTATGTATAAATATAAGTTTTATTATTAGACGTCTATACTGTTCCAGTAAACATTTGTGGATTTGAAGTGTCTTTTCTCTAAGGAAAGAGCACTTGCTTTATTGCATAGAAATATCAAGCATCAATTCAAATATAAAATTATCAAAACCAAAAGCACATCTATAATAAAAAAAATGATCATCATTAAATACAGTAATGACATCAGAATTGCTACTAAAAATGTCTTCACATACTAAAATATGTCCCGTCTCTCTCTTTCTGTCTCCACAGCAAAAATCTTCCTCTTCTATCTCATCTTTTATGGCTGTCTGGCCGGGATCTTTATCGGCACCATCCAGATTCTCCTCCTCACCCTGAGCGATTACAAACCCACCTGGCAGGACAGAGTAGCTCCTCCAGGTAACAATTCTATTGTGGTGACTGTCCTGCCTTTTATATCTTTCTTATCATTTATTGTGAGTGTAAATTGAAGTTGAAGTTGAAGTAATATCAAGGGGTTTTATGAAGCCCTAAGGGATCATAATGGAACTGCATGGGGCCAAATTAAATACAAAGTGTACAATTAAAGAAAGAAAGAAAGAAAGAAGAATACAATTACTGTAATTTTTTATTATAGAAAATTGGTCATTTTTTTCAATTCATACTTTTTAGAACATTTCGTGGAATAATTAGAATTTTCATACACTAAAATTTTTTTTTTTAAAACACTGTAAATGAACAAAGACTATTGGAATATGTTTTAAAAGAAAATACTATTTCAGTTTTTCTACTTCAAAATTTCATGTTTAATTCAATGCATTACTTGCTGTTTCTTTGTAAATAATTGTGAAATTTACTAGCAAATTCTGAGTAAAAAAAATTTCTACACCAATTTTTTTTTTTTATATTAAAATGTTTTTTATATTACAAACAAATAGTTTGTACATTGAAGTATCTCCTATTGAATCAGGGAGTTTTGCGTCATTTTAAACAGATTTATTAGGTCAGGTGAATTGGACATTTTCATGCAAGAGAACATTTTAATGAACAAAAATTTGTATATGTGATTTTTTTTAATCCATTTTCCTGCTACAGAATTGTTTTAAAAGCCAAAACTAATTTTGTTTTCATGGGGTTTGAAAGGTTAGTCCATTAGCTAACATAAAATTTCAGGGGGTTCTTAAAGGGTTAGTTCACCAAAAATGAAAATTAGCCTGTGTTATACTCACCCTCAAAGCATCCTAGGTGTATGTGACTTTCTTCTTTCAGACGAATCCAATCGGAGTTGTATTAAAAATTGTCCTGGCCCCTCCAAGCCTTTCAATGGGGCTAAGCGGGTGTTGGTTGTCAACAGTTGCATACGTCTTACGTCATCCGCCTGCATGTCTTCCTCGTACCACAGTCAGCGGAAGTGAGAAAAAAGTGTTTATTACGTTTGAAATATGGATATTTATCTTACAAAAATGCATGGATTCGCTACAGAAGGCCTTTATTCACCCCCTGGAGCCATGTGAGGGACATTTTATTATGGATGCGCGCACTTTATTTCACATCTTCTGAACTGTTGACAACCAACACCCGCTTACCCCCATTGAAAGGCTTGGAGGGGCCAGGACAATTTTTAATATAACTCTGATTGGATTCGTCTGAAAGAAGAAAGTCACATACACCTAGGATGCTTTGAGGGTGAGTAAAACACAGGCTAATTTTCATTTTTGGGTGAACTAACCCTTTAAGGTCATAGATTTTGGTAACCCGTCTGGTTCCCTGATGAGGGCTTGGACTCGTTGTTCCTGTCACAGTTGCTGTTCCTCTTGCAGTTTAAAGTGAGGCTTAAAGGATTGGATATGTCTGACAAACATTTGGTGGGTTCAGAGACCAGATCAAGGGCTAAGAGAGTGCTGGGCTCTTGGGAATTGATAATCTGACCATTTTACATCACAGCTGATATATTTCACATGTTTTCTTGGTAGAACAGAAGGCATGTGAAGTTAAGGGGAAACAGACTGACTATGACAACATATACCTTTCAGACACATTAGAACTATGAAACACTTTGTAGAGAAACTGATGGATCTCCTCTTGGCAAGGCTTATTTAGGAAAACTGATCATGGGAAGCATCAGAATGATTCAAAACATGTATTTCAGCATTCATTCTCTTTTTCCCTCTAACAATCACAGCATGTTCCTCTATGATTTATTTACAGTCACTGCGAGATAAGGAGCGTTCAAGCTTTGTGTTCTGCAAACTGTTTTCAGGACATGCTGTCTTTCACATGTGACTTTGTTACAAAACATGTAATTTGATTTCATTGACAATGCAGAACCACTTCAGTTATCAAACAGATTCTTTAGCTAGGCTTTGTTCATTTGTCAGATGCATTTGAAGCTCACCGGCCTTTACCTACTGCTAATATTTTGTGCATAATTTCATACTAATAAAATGGCAGTTACTTTGTGAAGATTAATGCGATTAAAAAATGACAAAGTATTAAATAACAGGGTTGCATTATTTTGCTTATTCCTTTTAATAAAGGAAAAAATAATATACTTTACTTTGTAAATTTTTATCTCTTAATATGATTATTAAAAGCTTATTAGATGTACAGTCGATCACAAAATTTAGAAACATTCTTTTGCGATTTGCCAAACAAATTCTTGCATGAATCATTCAACATTTTGGGGAGGTTAAACAGCTGTTAGAGGTTAAACTAATGTTAGTTATGAAATTTTTGAAGGCACACTTTATCAAGACTTGACAGAATTCTTCAGAATTGCACAATGATTGCTGATATTGCAAAGAAGAATTCGAGACAACCTGAAAGAGTTAAAGATTTTAATAAATACGAGTCAAATGAGAAAAGTCCAAAGATTTACTGTCCGACAAATGTCTCTCCAAAAAAGCAAATAAATTAATGTAAATATATCTGAATTCCTTGTATTTGTGTTATTTTATCTGTGCACAGGGCTCACTCACTACCCACGTTCAGACAAGGCTGAGCTGATCATCTATCCGGAGGATGATGAAACCTACAGGACATACATCAAAGCCATGAAAGAATTCTTAGAATCCTATGACACAGAAAAACAGGGAGACCTAATGAAATTTGAGGACTGCGGAGGTACTAGATTACACATGTGTCTTCTGTTACTTGAGTCCCAAATGAATATAGATGTTTTCTCAGCAGGATCAAGGTTTTCATTAGCCTACCAAATGTAATATTCACAAACTAAATACTAGAAAATATTATTAATTATTCCACACACTGTTTTTATACTTGTATATGTTTTCAATGATCTCTTTTTCACGTCCCTTTGAGAAAATTATAATTATATATACCTTTACATATGTAGAATTATATATATACATGTATATATATATATATATATTTTTTTTTCTATTTTGACAGACCAACCCGGGCAATACAAGAACAGAGGTGATCTAGAAAGTGACATGGGTATCAGAAAGGCATGCCAGTTTTCGAAGTCTTTCCTAGGACCCTGTTCTGGCATTGAAGATCGTAATTTTGGATTCTCAGAGGGGAAGCCCTGCTTGATTGTCAAGCTCAACAGGATTGTAAACTTCAGACCAAAGGTTTGTTAAATACATGCAACAATATTCACAAAATGTTTGTAGGATCTTGCATTTCTGTAGACTATTAATTAATTGACTAAAGGTTCATTTTTATAATACATCAGCAAATTTCTTGTCTTTACGGTGTTATGTAAATGCTTATATAAATACATATATACAGTACATACTATTATGTATATGTATACTATGTTTATTTATTGTTATTATTGTTGTTGTATTTGTTTATTTTTCTTTATTTTATTGTTTTTCTTAAAATGTTTTATTTTTTATTATATTTTATTTACTACTAATAATAGTAGTAATAAAATATAGTTATATTATTATTATTATTTGTTGTTGTTGTTGTTGTATTTGTTTACTTTTTATTATTTTATCATTTTGCTTACAAAGTATTTTATTATTAATCATTACTTGATAATTTTATTGATAATATTGATCATTGCAGAAAAGTTACCATAGTATTTTTTTAACCTGTATCATGTTGCATGCAAGTCTCAAGTTTTTTTTTCTTTTTTCTTTTAGCCACCAGCATCAAATGAAAGCATTCCAGAAGAGGCAAAGCACAAAGTCCAGCCCAACGTGATTCCTATCCACTGCACAAACAAGGTGAGCGATCATTTCGCTGCTTGACTGAATACTCTCATTTGCTCTGTAAAATAGTAAAATGGTTGCTAACTGGCAGCATATATTCTCTGGTCTTCTCTGAAACACCTGCAGAAAGAAGAGGATGCAGGTAAGCTCGGTGAAGTGAAGTACTACGGTATCGGAGGAGGCTTTCCTCTTCAGTATTACCCCTACTACGGGAAACGCCCGCACTCTCATTACCTGCAGCCCCTGGTGGCCATCCAGTTCGTCAACATCAGCCTGAACACGGAGATCCGCGTGGAGTGCAAAGTGTTTGGGGAAAACATTTATTACAGCGACAAGGATCGCTACCAGGGACGATTCGATGTTAAAATCGGTGTCATGACCAAATCAACATGACCTCTGAACAGAGTACCTCCACTCTCTCCCTATTTAAAGGCAAACTAAGGCCCCTCTTCTGACTTGAGATACAAAGGCACCAGAGAGAAGTTTCTCACCGGTCTTCCACAGTGTTTAACCGAGGGGATGTTTTTTGAATGTACAAGTGTCTCATGTCAGAAAGAGGCCTCATTTTAGTTTAGGAGAGATTAATTAAAAAATCTAATAAAATAAACAAAAAGTGAATAAAAAATTATTTAAAAACACTAGTCTAAAACAACATACCATCTTACACATGTGGGACCTAACATTGTCTGTACTCTTTACTTCAAGCTTTCTGCTTTCAGTCTAGGGTTAGAATGTAAATGCCTGGAGGATTAGCCATAGCATAAAATATTTATTCTACTACCGAATGAGAAGTGTCCACGATCAAAGGGGCATGTTGTTTTACTGTAAATTACATTTCTTCTACCGATGTAGCCAGCACTGTTTTGTCCCTCTTGTATTGTATTGTTGCCTTGTGTGATTTCCCTATATTTAGAACGTGCACAGTAGTTGCATATGTAGGTTGTTTTGAGCCACGCCATGTGTGTGATTAAGCTTCATTTGTCAAACGTGCCTACATACATGTATAGTTACTTAATGGAAATACACTGGCCTCTTAACATTGCCTTTCGCGGGTATTGATGTTCTATCTTTGCATCTTTTAGGTGTATTAGGTGGGTGTTGAACCTTTTTTTCCACTAAAATCACTACAGTGTAGGAGGGGAAGATTGTACTTCTCTTTTAATGATTCGTTTTCTCTGACTGTAGATGTTGCCTTTGGTTTTATGCTGTCATTCACGTGCAGAGGGAACCGCTATACTGAAACTTTGATATTTTTTTTTTTTACAACTTTGTTTTCTTCCTTGCCTTGTCATTCTTCTTCTTATTGAAGACGTCACATGGCATGGTTGAATGTTCGAAATTTCGATATTTATTAAGTGGTGACCTTAAATATTCTGTTCTTGCACATGCTCATGTTCTCGTCATGAATTCATGAACTCGTCATGAATGTTAATAATGCCAAAGCCATTAAAATTATTCTAGATTTTATCAGAAGTAATGCAATACCCTGTCCATCGGGATGTTTTGTAGGTGTGCGCAATCAGTGTCAAACGTTAGAAATGTCAAATTTCACGAGTCCCACAAGCTCTCATGTTGAAACTGAACTGGAAAAGACTAACCAAAATAAAGCTGAGACTCTAAAGTTGTGATGTTTTTATTTTATAAATCATCTAAGATATTGTTTTAATGAAAAGTCATTTTAAAATGTTATGTTTATATTCTCTTTCATGACATAACCACAAACAAAAAAGCATTTCTTGTTAAGGCAAGCATTAATATTACTTTCACTCATAATTAGGATTAGGGATTTTAACACTCAAAATAGCTGCATTTCACACATGAACCATTAAAAATCTTTAAAAAAAAACTTATTGGCTAAAAGTTAATAAATATAACACTTATTAGTTAATTAAATATTATCCATGTACATTACCATTCAAAAGTTCGGGGTCTTTTTTTATTAATACTACTAATGTGTTTTTGTGTGTGTGTGTGTGTGTGTGTGTGTGTGTGTATATAAAGACAGCATTTGTAAATCAGAATTTACACCTATAAATTCACAGGGAATTTGCTGGATGTATATTAATCAAGCACAATATTGTTAATTTGCGAATGAGGTAATACTTTAATTAGGGACCAGTTCTCACTACTAACTAGTTGCTTATTAGCATGCCTATTATTAACATATTGGCTGTTTATTAGTGCTTATAAAGCACACATTCTGCATGACCATATTTTACATCCCTAATCCGACCCAATACCTAAACTTAACAACTACCTTACTAACTATTAAGCAGAAAATTAGGAATTTATTGACGCAAAAGTCATAGTTAATGGTTTGTTAATAGCGTAAATTGGACCTTGAAATAAAGTGTGACCGTGAATCATTACAACATGTAAAAAACTTATTTCCATATCAAGAGTTGCACAGGAGTATTGTAAGTCTATTTATCCACATTGTGGATAAACATTTTAATCACGATATGTATTTGGCAGACACTCCAGCTGATGACATTAAAAGTTAAAGTGCAGAGCAAGAGAGAGAATCCAAATATGACTGAAAACAGCTCTCATAGGGCCCCTGCTGGGATGAGATACTGAACAGCCAGGTTCCTGGCAAGATATCCTCAAAATGTATATTTTATCTGAATTTTTAGGTCTTGGAACACTTAGGAATTGGAAGTGATTCTACCTGCTCTGTCATTGTATCATTGGCTGATCTTTGATGGTGATTAATGTGGGTCTTGATGAATTAAAAATGTGCATTTGCACCCAAGAGTATCTGTGTGCACCAAGCAGAGCCACCTGATCTCAGATGTGTGATGTCAACATGAATCTCACAGTGAGTAAAAATACTTGCGAATATGATGTGTTTGTGTGTGAGGGAGTAGATAGGAGGAGGGAATATGGATGGTAATTACAGAATAAAAATGAAAAGAACAGCTTTCAAGTGATGCAAAGTTCTTTTCATTAATTAAATGGCCCATTAAGGGCCACATAGCAATCATTACCACAAAACTATGTTGATTCACAAAACTACAGTTGATTCATATGCATGATTGAAACACTTATTTGAGTGGCAATCCAGCATTCCAGAAATAATGCTTCAGTCATGAATCTTTCATTAATAAAACACTTTCTAAAAGCTGCATTCTGTTGACAAATGTTATATGTACTGTAGGTTGTCAAAGTAATGCAGAAATAATATTTTCTAAGATGGAATTTGAATCATCTTGACAAATAAGACAGCAATCTACTTGAGATAACTCACAGATTTTATCTTTGTTCTTTGTGAACTGTGTATCCTTATTTTAGTTATTACTCATTAGTCATATCATTACTATTAGAGGAAAGAACAATAGTGTTGCACTTCCTCCCATTGTATGCTATGTGCCTGACCATGGATTTTAGAGGAGCTTTTTTTGTATCCTTCTCCAGCCTTAGTACTGGTACTTTCCACAGACAGAGAATGGTACACTCAATGGCGGAGTCAGAGGGGTGTCCTATATGACACTTGACACCCCTGACATCTGATTGGCCACCCTGTTTGCAGCCCAAAATTTTTAATTCGATGCTGGCAGTTTGGAAGGCATCAAGGCACATCCAAATTCACTTACTGTCTCTTGAGATGCCTTCACCTGATCAATTTTTAAGTGACAGTGAATGAGTGACGTGATGTGTAGCCAAGTATAGTGTCCCATACTTGGAATTTGTGCCCTGCATTTAAAGGGTTAGTTCACCCAAAAATTAAAATTAGCCCATGAATTATTCACCCTCAAGGCATCCTTCCAGATAGCACATGTACGTCTGCTAGATGTCTGATAAAGATCTCTTGATCTGGAAAGCATCTGCTGTCTACAAACGTCTGACAGAAGTCTTTCAGATGTCAGTTTTACATACATTCTAAATCATAAACATCTTAAAGACATCTAATAGACATCTATTTAACATCTAAAAGGAAACGTCCTTCGATTTGTAATTCTAATTTGTGACCATTGTTTTTTTATCTCTCCGCTCCGCTTCCGTGTTCGTCACTTCTGAGCGGCGCATGCGCAACGCCGACCTCATACGTCATCCGCCCGGAACTGCTTCCGTGTACAACTGTTGACGCAAGCTAGATTAAAGTGATTACGTTTTGATTGAGGATATTTTTCTTACAAAATCTTAAAGACATCTAATAGACATCTATTTAACATCTAAAAGGAAACGTCCTATAGACGCATTGCAGATGAGCAAACACTCCAAAAAAAAATGTCTTGCAGATGTAAATGGACGTCAAATAGACGTCTCCAAGATGTACGTGTGCTATCAGGGCTAGGTGTATATGACTTTCTTCTTTCAGACGAATCCAATCGGAGTTATACTAAAAATTGTCTTTGATCTTCCAAGCTGTTTAATGGCAGTCAGTGGGTGTTGCAGTTCATCAGTCCAAAAGAAGTGAAATAAAGTGCATCCATCCATAATAAAAAGTGCCTCACACTGCTCCGGGGGGTGAACAAAGGCCTCCTGTAGCGAATCGATGCGTTTTTGTAAGACAAATATCTATATTCAAAACGTAATAATCACTTTAATCTAGCTTGCACCAACAGTTGTACACGGAAGCAGTTCCGGGCTGATGATGTATGAGGTCAGCGTTGCGCAGAGTCTCGTGAGTCTCGTGAAAACTAACGTTTGTTTAAAGAATGAAAGGAAGCAAAGGAAAACCAGTCTCCTCTTGGCTTATATCTACATTTGTCCTTCTGTGGACTGAATAAAGTCTATGCATCATATAGAGAGATATAATAGTATAGATTGCTCTTTCCGTTTGCGCTGTTTTCACAGCAAAACTTATCATCATCGCCCTTATTTTCATTCTTGAAGCAAACTTTTTGCCTGTAAAATTATTAGATTTGGTGATTAGATGTTGGACTGTTGCCTTGAATGTGAAAACATGATAGCATGGTGCTTTTCATCCGGTTTACCATCGGGTTTAGATTTCCTGAACAACTTATCAGAAATTTGAGTTATTGTAATTGTACTGATGAGTGCCACTAGGGGCACTAATGTTTTGAGTAATAAAAGGAAATTGTGCAGGCAAATAAAACAATACTTATAGCATGTGTAACGTGTCAGTGATCTGTGCCAGATAAATGAAACATGGTAGCAGGAGAAATAGATAAACATTTTACAAAATGATTATAAATAGCATCCGACAGCCAGACGAGCTGAATTTGAGTGGATATGTCCATGCTAATTGGAAATCTTTCAAGCTGAGCTTCGAGCTGTACCTGTTAGCGATGGGGCTGGAGAGGGATAATGACTGCAGGAAGATCTTACAGTGGTGGGCCGATCTGCGATAGATGTCTTCAACATGTTCCAGTTCTCTGAGGAAGAGCAAGATAAGTACGATGTGGTTATGGCAAAGTTTGAGGACTATTGTATACCAAAGAAACACCAAACATACAAACGTTATGTTTTTCGTAATCGGATGCAGAAAGAAGGAGAGACTGTTGAACAATATGTGACAGATTTAGGTCTGCAAAGCCAATCGTTTATACAACTTCAAGAGTTTGTCTGATTCGATGATCAGGGATCAAATAGTCATTGGCATCCTGGACAAGAGAGTAAGAAGATAGTTACTCGGGGAGACTGAATTGACTTTGGATAAAGCATTTGGCATCTGCCAAGTATCAGAGAGAGTGAACGTACAACTTAAAT